TCCAATAAAACCACTCTAGTGATCTTAAAGAAAATGTATGAGTGTCTTACAGAGCGATTAAGAACGTACCACTGTAAAACAGTTACTAAGAGCAACATCTACAGTTAAGCAAGCACAGAAATTGTTGATATTTCATATCTCCTTTGAATTCTTTACAAATGGACTACCTCCCTTCTTCACAGAAGAGCACAAAGTTCTCCATGTTTCAAGTCTGGTTTGGGAAATGAGTTTCAGATGACATCTTAATGAATGAAAAATTTTAAGGGCATACAGAATCTTATTGAGATGCATATAAATTTTTAAAACCTTATGTTTTCAGCTATTCAAGCTTGCACAAATTTAAATGGTGTGAGGGAAGGAACAGCTTGGAGCCTCCCCTTGTTTCCACTTTGCCTTGCTCACAGCTGTTCTGCCCGGGAGACACAAGTTGTGGCCTAGCCAGGGCAGGATTCTTCAGAAGGTCATTCAATCTCAGCCTGCCAGCGATACTGCAAACACCATCATCGCAACCAGTTGGTCTATTACTACACATCGCATTCACAGTGATAAATCATAAGCACTGAATCTAATGCCAGCAGTAGACTGTCTACAGAGACTAGGATGGAAGGACTAGGATCATCTTCCGGCACCAAACAACAGAACAAACTCACTGCAGAGCGAAGCGCCAGGGGCCCTATGTCCTACAATATTGGCACTATGCAGAGAGAGAAAAAGCCACAGTGGCTCTCTCACTGCGGGGCAAGATCATAGAATCATAGAATGGTATGGGTAAGATCATCACACACTGCGGAGAACAAAGCTTAAAATCCATCATGTAGCCAGCAGCTCTATCAATATTGCACCTGGACATTCCTACAGTTGTTTGTTTGTTTGTTTTAATCTTCATGAAGCTCAGACAATTGTTGTGTTCTGTCAATTTTTCTTGCACATTCAAAGTAACTCGAAATCTAGCTTAATGATGACGTAGCTTTAAGAATAAAGTACTATATCCCCCAAAACGGAGGATAATCTTTGTGCCCGACAACAGACTTGAGCTCGTAACCATTTCACAGAGGTGTTCAAATTGGACTGAAAAGCTCTGTACTTTCCTAACAGAAAAAAAAGGAGCTTTTCTAACACTGAAGCTGCCTGCATTAGATTAGTTTACTGGCAGTAATAAAGAAGTGGTGTTTTCAGTAATGACGCTCCTTGACAGGAAAAAACAATCCTAAAAACCTTCACAGATGCCCTCCTTTCATGTTTACGCATCGAATCTAGCAGGCTAGCTGTTTTACATGGTCAGATAACCTCAAAGCCAAGCATCTTCTATGTAAAACCAAAAGCAACAGCACCTCGTTAGTAAATACCACAACACTTCTCCCTTTTCAGCACAAAGCTCACAGAAAATATTTTGTTCAAGCATTATTTTAAATTATCTATTTAAAATAACCCAGTGTCAGTAGTTCTCTGAAACTATCATGTGAAGTCTCAAAGCCATCGTAAAGGAGATGGGATGACCAACGTGGTCATGTCTTAGGAGAGGGAGGCATGAATACACACAGTGCAATCTCAGCAGACCACACTTTTTTCTTTTATATCAGGCTAAAACAGTATGTAGTTATGTAACTGAAGAGCAATCAAAAGGGCTACCTAGGACAAGATTAAGTTTGCAAAAGGTAGCTTATTTTTTTAAGTTTTTGAATTTAGAAATGCCTGACTTAGCAAGCTACTTTTTCTCAAAGCAATTTTGCATGTCATGTATTATTGATTCCTTTCAGATCCTTAAGCATTAGCAAAATAATGACAATTAAATAAGTATAAATAAACTGATCTTCTAAAGCCACAGCCTTCATTGACTTGAGATAATTGGATTACTTCATCCATTAACCCAGAAGATGGATGTAATACATCAGTAGCTAGGACATAGATTAAGGAGGTTCAGAGTAAAAACGATCACAAAAACTCCTGGCATTTATGGCTATTTTCTATTCTGCAGAGGCCAATCACATAAATTTATTCTTAGTTAAGAAAATTACAAGTGTTATTTTATACTACCTGGCTACAATAGTTTTATTTTCACATTCTTGCATACACACATGTAAATTATTTATAACCTTTGGTAAAACATTATCAAAGAAGCATGTCTTGTGATTTTAATAACATCCCACCCCAGCACTTAAAGTAAAAAAAAAAAAAAAACAAAAACCAACAATAAAAAAAATAACAAAACAAACACAAACACTTTTTTAAGTTCCAGTTGTGGTCTTTCCATGAAATCTTTGCAGTCTAAAACCACCATCCCAGTAAGTAAAAATGCATCCCCCTGTGCAATGTCATATAGAACAGATTAAAAAGATGCCCTTACCTTTTCAGCAGCCATCAAAGAAAGATGAGTGGAAGGAAACTGCTTTTAAGAGGTGGGTAGGACTCATTATTTTTTTATCTTTCCTTATAGAAAACTGGTGGCTCTTCTCCACCCCATTTCCTTCCTTTGGCACCAAAATTAGACAGATGTATGTACAGAGGAGCATCCCCAAAACAGCTAAAAGCAAATGCACTCAAAGAAGAGCTGTAGCGTTACAACAGCTTTTGCCAAGTCTCTGGTTTTGTTATGAGCAACAGCAACTAGCAATCAGAGGGAAGTTATTAATTTTTTCAACATTAAAAAGAGACTCAGCACAAGAGACTATAAAAGCTGACTGATACCATCAAAATATGCTCAGTCTTCAAGCCACACACAGGAAGAGAAATGGCTTTGAGTTCTACATCGTTTCTTTTTCTGATACTATAGATGTGAAAATACTACTAACCTCAATGTCCCCAGGACTCGCACAGAAAACACTGCTTATATCATAGACAGTTAGTTCCTGGAAACAAAATAGTTTTCTATTCAGATCTGAACAACAAAGCAATTAGCATGGATAAAAGTTGAAAAGAATTAATTTTTTATACATCTGCTGCAAAAAGTAGAAAATTATTTTACCTCACAACTGGTAAACCTGATATCAGATAAAGATTAAAACATTATTTGGATTGGATATCCCAGTTCAGTCTATTACAGAACCAAGTGTGAGCAATGAAGTTCAAAATTACATCCAAATTATTTCAAATTCTGGAGAAGAAGAGAGTTTGTTCTTGCAGGTTGATCTCCTTGTTCCTGGCTCTACCAGGTAAACTGTATGCACAATACAGAAACACTTCTTAGCATTTTGGGTGTTTTAAGAAGTATTATTTTAGTTAGAATTAAACAAAGCACTGCAATTCTATTCACATGGCAAAATTAATCAGCCTGCACTTTCATAAACTCATTCAATTCAATAGGTTCAGACATTTCCACCCGTGCACGTCAAGTTTAATCACCTTCTTCAATCATATCACTGAAGAGAAAACAGCTGTTAGTGGGGCACACAGCTAAGCCCAACGAGGAGTATTTGGATTATTTGGGCCTTCATTTCAGGCAAAACTTTAACTAAATGAAAGACCAGAAATAACCTGAGGATTTTAATTACCTGCAGCAACATATTTGTAGTATCACAAAGCTGGGCTGGCGAAAGTTACCCTTACTGCCAGCTTTCCCCCAATATTTAACCAAAGCCTTAATTGCCACACTTTTACCTCATTATATTTTTTCCCTCTCGCCCCTGGACGTGGAAAACTGCTACAGTATTTTATATGCGCTAAGAATGTAACCAAGTTACAGCCTTTTATTCTTCTGGAGAAACAAGCACCGCTTGTTCAGCCTTCCCATAGTCCTCGCTTTTTTGTCTCTGCTTTCTGCTTGGTGGGAGCAGCAAGCACAGAGCTCAGAGGAGAGGGGTGGAGGGCGAGCACAGCAGCCAGCTGCACTCCCCCCCATCCCAGCGGGGCGGGCAGAGCGAGTGCTGCCCGCAGGGTGCTCACACAATCCCGAAGTGAGGTGACCGGTCAGGGTTGTCTTCTTCTTCAGGAGAGGCAGGAGGCAGGGCCAGACACGGGACTGGAGACAAGGTCAAAATGTAGGGCCAAGGCCCGCCAAAGGGACAGGCCCGGAGCAGAGGGCGCGGGGTGGAGGCCACAGCTGAGGCTGATCAGGGCGGCTGAGGCCCGTCCCTGCACTCGGGGCCCTGAGGCTGTGACTCACTCGTGACCTTCTTGAAACACAACACCTAAAACTGGGCACAGTATTCCCCGTGAGGCCTTATGGCACCACGTGCAATAGAAATGCTGCTTCCCACATCCTGCAAGCTACAGGTCCATTTACACGTCCCAGTACGGCATTGCCCTTTTTAACAGCAGCATCGTACGACAGGCAGAGGTAAATCATACCTAATACGCTCCCCTGCGCTCTTGTCCACGGAACGGCTCCCGGGGGAGCTGGTCCTGCCCCGTCTGCGTGTACGGAGCTGGTTATTCCTGCCCCAGTCAAGGCCTCGGCACTTGCCCCCAGGGAGTTATTTCCTCCTTTGCTCAGACTGTTTCTCCAGTTCATCCAGGCCACTCTGAACCCCAACAGCACCTGCCACTGTTTACATCGTCTCTCAGAGGTTGGCATCATCACTAATTTGAGCCATCTGTAGACACTGCACGCACACAAAAGATCCACAAACTGTGAAAAGCGTGCCCTTCAATTTCACTGCCCCGATTCTGGCTGCTGAAAATAACGGGATCTGCTTAGAACTGTAAGAATTCACATATTCTTCATGTCTTTCCATGGGCTTTTTTTTTTTTTTTTTAGGTCCCGGGCATACATGACGCACTCAGCCCTTCTTTTCAAGCTGTTCCCAGAAACAAGATGCAGACCCTCCTCCCCAGGAAAGGACCCTTAAGATCCTCTCTTTCTTGCCCCCTGGACACAAGGGGCAAGCTATCCCTATGAAAAACACAACCGCGACCAGCGGCCTTCTCTCCTTCAGCCCCGGCTTTGGGGCGGTCGCAGCCCGGCCGCCCGCCACCGCGCTGCCGCTGTGGAAGCGGCGCCATCTTGCGGGCCCAGCCCACCGCGCCGCGCCCTGTTGCTACGCGCTCGAGGCGCGGAGAGCGCAATGCGCAGGCGTAAAGGCAGCGGCGGGGAGGGCGCGGGGCCGTGCCGGCTCCCGGGCGGGGACGGGCGCCAGGCGCGCAGGCG